GATCCTGTTAGGAAATCTTCCGTAGTATTCGCAAGGTCCCGGCCGATGTTCTGCTGCATTTGAACATTCATTTAACGAAAAAAAAACGTGGAAAGAACATTTCTTGATTGGCGATGTCGGCAGGGTAAGTGCCAAGAATCCCTTTGAAGCCCTTAAAAAAGGGCAAACTATCTTGTGAAAATGTTTTTAATGAGCGTCCTTCTCCTTTTGCGCGCTCGACTCCGATAACGCTAGAAAGTCTTGGTCATATTGTTTCTTCAGAGATTGAACTGCTGAGAAGCAGCTTCAATTTTGTATTCCGGATTGTAAGGGTTCAACATCTCCTATGGAGAAATGCTTTCTTATGAAACGAATTGATTTTAAAATCGCACAATATTTATCATTAATCTTTAAAGGGGCGGAAGTGGTGTAGTGGCAAGTGGCACGCTTACCACGCGAGCGGTCCGGGGATCAAATCCTGGGTCGTGAGTCGCCCGGGCCAACCAAGCCTTCCATCCCTCCGGGGTCGGTTAATTGGTACCAGACTTGTCTGGGAGGATAAAAAACACTGACTTGTACATCGGCTGGCCCCCGCAAGTCATTGTATAGGCCACATCGCATTCAAACGCCACTACGAATGTAAATGGAAGTAGAATGCGTGCCGCATCCCAAAAAGGGATTGATCAACGGCAAATGCTTTATCCTTTTTTATATGTTTAAAGTAGTCGATTGGTCGACTCCAAAGAAATCACCTTTTTTTTTCAAATGGCCAATTTCGGGAAACTATAATGCCCATCGTATTCCACACTTGATTTTGCGCATAATATTTAAATTTGAGGCAATTTGTTGTTTATTGACTGCGCTAGGTCCGAAAAAAGTTCCAAACTTCTGACCGCTATTGTATATTCTCACCAAACAATCCTTTCTGGACTCGGAAATGCCCTTTGGTTGGTAATTGGTCAACGAGAGGATCGTATTTGTGACTTGAGAAGAGAGAGTCTCACTTGCATTCAGCAGTAATCGTAGTGTACTATAGCCCATTACCCAGGAGCCCATTACCTCTGGAATTTTTTCGGAGTGATGGTTGACCGTGGATAATGAACTAGTCTGCAGTGCCGACCTCTAACCTATTGATATCACAATCAAGAGGCTTCAATCAGTCGAAGGCAAATAGAGATCCGACTGCCGATGTTGGCCGAGTGAGCTTAGTGCCGAGTGGTGGCTAGGACATTACCAGGGAAAACTTGGCGCGGAAATATATCGTCCTATTATTTTATTATTCCAATGGGATCACTACAGCGTTCGGCTTGTTCGGGTGAAATTCCTTTATTCCGACCCTTGAGGTTGAGCTGTTCCTGAGCTTTGAGCTATGGAGACCATGCAGCACAATGCATAAGGGCTGCAGTCTGCCGACGGCATAGTTATTGCAAGCCATTTTCAGAAACGGTCACTGAGCTTTTCTTTTATTTGTTCTTTCTATTTTGATCCAGAAATTTTATTCTGAATCATATAATAAGTTCTTCCTAACAATTTGCGCGATAAGTTATGCGAAATTTTCTTCACTGGAGTTCCACTCGGCTGCCCGCAAGAAGTATTACAAAATATACAAGAAAATGAATAAACAAAAAATAAAATGGGGTCTCTAATGTGTAATAAATGCGATTGACAAGGAAATGTCCCTGAACTGGACGAGCTACGACATGTGCTGCTTAGAGAGGCTACTTGGCTGGAGGAAGTTTCAGACCAGGTTTCGACACCCGATGTGGGGCTAGTACGATTTGAGGGCAGATAAGCACAATAAAGGAGTTTTTCTGAAGGCTTCAAAAAACTGCAGCTATATGCCATCTGTAGTTTTCTCTTGAAATATGCTTCTGATTGAACTGGCCTGGAATTTGTTCTACTTCATTACAGTTCACCTCCTTCTTTGGAACAGAGCGGGTAGTGTCAAATGCCGGCCGCCTATCATACCTTTTTGTTGGCATCCTACCTAATTTGTGCAGCAAAAGGAGTCGGATACCGTCATGACCATGCAAACCATTTATTTTTCCCGAATAGATTAGCTAGTATCAGATCAGTCCATGAAAGGGGGAGGGGCAGACACTACGTTTTGCTCCAACAGACTCCCGTACTCCATTGCATTAGCCATGTGTACTGAAACTACAATACCGCTCACAGAATGTGAAAAAATGACGCCGATTGCAAGATTAATCCATCACAAACCGTCGCACTGCCATAACTCTTTAAAAATGAATGAAACGAAAAAATTTCAAACTCCTCTGGATAGGCCTGTCCACGAGGACTTCCATGATGTGTTGTAGGTCGGGACTGATTAAGTAGGTCACCAGCTTTACCTTCTAAGCTGGGCAAAATACAACTGTAACCTCAAGGAAGGACACCATTCTCGTTAGATCTCATGTATATGTGCACAGCAGCTTACCGTTCACCTTTTTTGATGCATTTTTATCTATGTTTCACGGCCACTCTCGATGCAAACGAGCCCTTCAATTTTGAGACATTTTAGAATTTTGCAAGCGAATTTCATCTAGGTATGGAGGTAATTCAACGAAACGGCTAGACCATCTTGAACAATGTATGCAACTGTGCAAGAATTCTGTCGCTTACTGGATAGTCGGTTGGTGGTCCTTCCATAATTTAGCTCTAAATATCGGTATACGTCCGATTCTGCAAGCAGAAACACTTTTCTTTTCCCTTCGAATTTGCGCTTTACCGAAGTGTGTGATCAACGAATCGATGGCGTTTCCAAGAACATGTCATATTGTTCCCTATAGTGGCATAATTGCTTATGATCAAGGGTCTACTTGAATAAGACAAGAGGCTGTACCCCACCTTTGAAAAAAAATATTTTGACAGAGAGTGCAGAAATTGTATTGAATTCATACAGCTGTACTCAGCGCGATGAACGCTACTTGATAGTATACAAGTTATTTTCCGAAGACTGCTTTGTTTTTTCTCATTTTTTTCCTTTCGATGGTCGCTGGCCAATTAGCAATCGCTCGCTGGCCTTGTAATTACGCCGCGCATTGAGGGTCAATGCCTCGCGGTGTTATCACCTCTCTTGGAGGCACACTCTAGCAATTCAATATCGCTAAGCGTTGTTTTTCTGGAGTCCCTTAAGTTTTCTGTATGGAAATCACTCCGGAACGACACGACTGTGAGCTCACACAACAACTTATACTTGTTTCTTTCGTTCCTACTAGGAATGGTGTCGTACCGTCTTCCTACAGATTTCCTCTCCCTTCTCGTACCCTTGATTTCTTGCGATTCGTGATTGGCCAGTCACTGTATCTCAGTTCCCTCTATTTCACTCATTTCAACCACTTGAAAATATGTAAGATTGATAGATAAAAAAGGGGATGATCAAACCCGAATACTTTACTCTCCTGCGTTTTATCATATACATATTTTCAAGTGGTTGAAATGAGTGAAATAGAGGGAACTGAATACAGTGACTGGCCAATCACGAATGGCAAGAAATCAAGGTACAAGAAGGGAGAGGAAATCTGAAGGAAGTGGTACGACACCATTCCTAGTAGGAACGAAAGCAAACAAGTGAGTTGTTGTGTGAGCTCACAGTCGTGTCGTTCCGGAGATTTCCATACAGAAAACTTAAGGGACTCCAGAAAAACAACGCTTAGCGATATTGAATTGCTAGAGTGTGCCTCCAAGAGAGGTGATAACACCGCGAGGCATTGACCCTCAATGCGCGGCGTAATTACAAGGCCAGCGAGCGATTGCTAATTGGCCAGCGACCATCGAAAGGAAAAAATGAGAAAAAACAAAGCAGTCTTCGGAAAATTGTATACTATCAAGTAGCGTTCATCGCGCTGAGTACAGCTGTATGAATTTTAATACAATTTCTGCACTCTCTGTCAAAATATTTTTTTTCAAAGGTGGGGTACAGCCTCTTGTCTTATTCAAGTAGACCCTTGATCATAAGCAATTATGCCACTATAGGGAACAATATGACATGTTCTTGGAAACGCCATTCGATTCGTTGATCACACACTTCGGTAAAGCGCAAATTCGAAGGGAAAAGAAAAGTGTTTCTGCTTGCAGAATCGGACGTATACCGATATTTAGAGCTAAATTATGGAAGGACCACCAACCGACTATCCAGTAAGCGACAGAATTCTTGCACAGTTGCATACATTGTTCAAGATGGTCTAGCCGTTTCGTTGAATTACCTCCATACCTAGATGAAATTCGCTTGCAAAATTCTAAAATGTCTCAAAATTGAAGGGCTCGTTTGCATCGAGAGTGGCCGTGAAACATAGATAAAAATGCATCAAAAAAGGTGAACGGTAAGCTGCTGTGCACATATACATGAGATCCAACGAGAATGGTGTCCTTCCTTGAGGTTACAGTTGTATTTTGCCCAGCTTAGAAGGTAAAGCTGGTGACCTACTTAATCAGTCCCGACCTACAACACATCATGGAAGTCCTCGTGGACAGGCCTATCCAGAGGAGTTTGAATTTTTTCGTTTCATTCATTTTTAAAGGAGTTATGGCAGTGCGACGGTTTGTGATGGATTAATCTTGCAATCGGCGTCATTTTTTCACATTCTGTGAGCGGTATTGTAACTTCGTATAATGTATGCCGTGCCTCATGTCCCTGGGGAAGGGGAGGGGTCGAGAGAAGAGAAAGTGGAGACAGAGAAGAAGAGGAAAAGAGAGACGGTTCAGAACAGGGAACGAGGGCAAGTGACCACGAGGAATCAGGCCAGAAGGGGGGAGATAAGCTAGGGAAGCCGAATGCTCACATCTCGCATCCCCCCCCCCCAAAAGTCCCCTCCGTGGCTCTGAGACTTGGGCCAAGTGCTTGTAAGGTGGTCACTCACTTCAATGTTCCCTCTCTTCCATCGACTATGGGCGCCTAGTTGTGAACCCACCAACAGAAGGCTAGGACCAGAGCCCTCTTTTCTATTGCTCTCACTCTATGTATTTCTTAACGCCCAGGCCAAAAGAATTGCCGCTGTCTACAAAACAAAGGAATCACTTACGCGGACGCCACGAGAATTGCGTGACGATGTGCTGCTAGAATTTGAGGCATTTCGGAAAAGTGCGCGTCTCGTAACAGCAGTGAGAGGGGACCGATCCGGCGTTCCCGGTCCCATAGCGAGAAGGTCAAGCGAATGTGAACGTTCGCAGTGGCCGTTTTCCATGGATACGGATCCGGTGGGATTTCCTGAAATCATAAGAGAACATCTAGCGAGGAAATTTCTATGAGCATAGCGAAAGCACGCATGCCAGCAGGGAAGGATGCGGAATAGCTGTGCGAAGCAGAAAGAAATTTCGAGAAGTACTTCCATAAAAGGGTTGAAAATGGAAAAAAACCTCTGCTAAAGTCCTAATGAAATAGGAGCTTGATTCTGCAATGAGAAGTGAGACAAAGGCGCCCAAAGGTTAAATGGAGCCGTGCCATGCTTAGGCTGCGAGACGACGAATAAATTGGCATGGAACTTTCCCATTATCAATTGAATCCAAAAAATTGAAAAATCAATACAAATTCAAATCCGATTTTGTTTTTATTGATTGTTGCCCGACGTTTTCGACTTCTATTCCGCACCTTCCCCGGTGTCAAGCACACGGGTCGAATCACATCACACAAGCACTGACCAACCGACTTCGCCTCCAACTGATACCATCGGGGACCGGGGGAATCCCAGTCGTGGTCCCGTAACGATATCATCGTCTTGAAAATGTGATTAAGGTAACGGAGTGGAGCTAAAACAACAACAGATCTATTAGAGGGTTTACCTCGCCGATGAGGGAATTCTGAGTGAGGAGATCTTTGTGCCATACGGACACTTTCAAGCGATATTGCTCCAATTCGGATTTAGTTATCCGAGGAAACTGAAATGGTACTTCTTCACTGCTTCCAAAAATTACACAAATAATAAAAGTCAAGGCGCTATCGCAACATACGGGGCATGAGGTGACAATGCATTGAAAACCGCGGTAAACATTTTCCCTGTAGTAAAAACGGGACCAAGCCTTAGGCGGAGAAGGAGAGACTCCAGGATGTATGAGCGAACTTCGTTCCCCAAGGTTCCTGCCCCTCTCCCATAAGGCTTAGTTCTAGAGTATGCCCCCATATTTTGCGGTAGCGCCAAAGATAAATCCATCTAGCTTTGATTCATAAACTGATTTTGAAGTAAAAAGATGTGAGGTTTTCTTACCTGGAGAATCTCATCGAAAAGCGGATTGATTTCCGATTTACGGGGTGTCGTCTTGTGTTTCAAGACTGGTCCTGGCTTTGAATCCTGTGACACCAAAATCACCTGAAATCGCAACCACTGTCGATTTCCTAAAACCTATCAGTAGAATAAAGTAAATAGAGTAAAAGTCGCGTCAAATAAATGAAAACGAATAAATGTAAACAAAACACAGGCAATCGTAAATTGCGACGGATGATTTTTTAGCTACGCGGCACGGTGTGAGCAATAGATGAGCCTGAGCCCACTATTTCCATGAATATTGTATTGTCTCACTTGGGTTATTGTTACCAGATTAGTCCCCCGTCAACCGCCGGGACCTTCCTTTCCTGCGCAAGCTTTCTATCCTCCGCTATGGTCCCTTCCTCCTGTGACACCAACACCTCCTGGAAGTGACGCGTATGCAACACAATGGTGTTTCATACAGTAGAAGGGACACAATCATGATATGACGGTAGATTTTTCGCTTCCCTTCCTCATCTCCCTTCCTCTCTCCACTGCCCTCCAGCTGCCACTGCAGCACCATGTGGAATGAACGGAAGTGTGCTAAGCAGGTGTTTATATAGCCCTAAGAGTGTTATCACAACTATCCTGCTACAAAACATTGATATCTCAAATCCTGTAAGCTACCCGATTTGTTAGCGGTTTTCTATCCTCCGCTATGGTCCCTTCCTCCTGTGACACCAACACCTCCTGGAAGTGACGCGTATGCAACACAATGGTGTTTCATACAGTAGAAGGGACACAATCATGATATGACGGTAGATTTTTCGCTTCCCTTCCTCATCCTCCCTTCCTCTCTCCACTGCCCTCCAGCTGCCACTGCAGCACCATGTGGAATGAACGGAAGTGTGCTAAGCAGGTGTTTATATAGCCCTAAGAGTGTTATCACAACTATCCTGCTACAAAACATTGATATCTCAAATCCTGTAAGCTACCCGATTTGTTAGCGGTTTGTTTATCCCATGAGCTTCCTTCTCACTCACTTCATTTTGCGGACGGACACACATACATACATACACACACACACACACACATACAGATACACAAACCGACACACAAAGTTAGCGCTTTATAAAATAGAAGGATAGGAATATCATTTAAACTTGCAATCGGTTACATTCAAAATATGAATTAGGTATTTGGAGGAGGAAAGAAAGAAAACAGTCGTGCTACCTCGTGCTTCGTCATTAGCGTGAAAGAGTTGAGACAACCAACGCCTACCTTAAAGGACGAATTCACGATGAAAAAGCAACCCATTTCAAATTAACCTAGGGATGATGATACACGAAAGAAGGAAGAACCATGAGAAACGGCCCAGAACCCGAGAAATGGGACCCCTTCCTTGCCCGTTGATTTGAGCATTGATGCGACTCATCGCTGTGCCTCTTCAACACTACGCTCTCTCTGCTATCTAATCACTCGCCACGTATAGACCTGCGGCGAGTGATTAGATAGTCGGTGGGCGTACCCCGCCAACCGCGCCAAGAGTGAGCCATGCTAGATCGCCGAGGTCAAATCTTTCGCTGTCTTGTTTTTTTTTTTTTATAAGATTTGCCTCCTTACCGCGTCACCGCCACCCTCAGGGAATGCCATCGGCTCCTTCCAACCAGGTGAATTACTCATTTCTTCGACCTTCGTGTCTAATCCGTGGATACCTCTTTAAAGGGCAAGCAAATTCCAGATCGAATTTGCGGCGAAGAAACGCCTTCAAACAAGGGCTTCTCCCTTTGAAGTGAGTCGGACGAGTTGTCTGAATTGGCTTGCATTTCTTGCTGATCCGTACCAGCATGAAATACGGCTGCAATCGCATTTGCCCCAATACAAACAGAGACATATGCATCAGTACGAACAAAAAGATACAATAATTAAATGAGTTAAACAAGTAAAACCAATCAAAAAGACGCAGCATTAATTTCGAAACGCGGGATAGTTACAAGCAATCGCGCAAGGACCCGCATCAAGCACGCGCTCTCCACGCTGCAAGTGGACGTCGCTCGCAAATTGATAAGCCATGCCAACTTCGAGAGGGTTTGACTCCCTTCTAGCGACTAGTTCAGTGACAATTCTTATATAATTAACTAAGGCTAATGCATTTTTCCATTCCATTAAAATGGAGTGAGGGCGGAAGTGTGTAGTGGCAAGTGGCACGCTTACCACGCGAGCGGTCCGGGGATCAAATCCTGGGTCGTGAGTCGCCCGGGCCAACCAAGCCTTCCATCCCTCCGGGGTCGGTTAATGGTACCAGACTTGTCTGGAGAGATAAAAACACTGACTTGTACATCGGCTGGCCCCGCAAGTCATTGTATAGGCCACATCGCATTCAAACGCCACTACGAATGTACAAATGGAAGTAGAATGCGTGCCGCATCCCAAAAAGGGATTGATCAACGGCAAATGCTTTATCCTTTATCCTTTGTCTCCCCCTTCTTCCCCCATCCTTGAATGAGATACCCTTTTCACGCTCTTTGCGTAGGTTTCGCCGAAATCGTCAAACAAAACCGTCAGAGGTGGCCTCCCTTTTCCACGGATTCTTCATGTTCCCAATATAAGCACTCATCTGCTTCCTTTGCCCTCGCGCAACACCCAAATACGACCACGTCTTCCGAAATTGCAAAATACGACCGCCCAGTCCTGTCGGACCGACGGAGGGTTGACCCAGTCTTGTAATGCAGTCCGCACGCTGCGGCTTGAACTTGCGCACTATAGTCTCGATTATACTATACCCAGTAGTGCTTTCGAGCAACACCCCAGCAAAAAGTTGTGTCGAAGAATCTATTCAGTGGTGAGGATCGACTAGCCCACAAGTATCACAGATGTGCCGTTGTCGCAGCGACTCGAAAGTGCGTGACAACAGCGCAGGGTCTTACAAAGTCAGCTTTTGGCGACTAATCTTAGCATTCGGACGAGTGACATAGGGCACATCCCATGACACGCAACGTGGATGCGACATGGTGGCTAATTCAAATACGCGCTGGTTAGTTGAGCCGTGGAACAGTTCGTATAACTCGTCTGACCCCGCCTTCTTTTTTCAAGGAGGACGGGGTCAGACGAGTTATACGAACTTGCCTGTTGTTTTTTTTTCTGTTTTGGGCCTCACCGACGGTTTCTTTGCTTTCGTTTTTGTTTTAGTCAATTCGGCTTTCACAACTTTATTATCAACCGCTGTGACCCTACAAATCCGGTCTGGGAGTGTTGCTTGGAGTACAGGAAACTGCGAGTTCACACTAGTTGATCGTAAATAATAAGAGTAAAATGAGAAAAAAAAACGTAAAAACACTTTTAAACTGACCTTCACATAAGGATTCGGTTTATGACTGCCAAAATGAGGTAGTGATCGGCACTGAATGACATGCACTTTGATACAGGCGGACAAGATATCGTAACAGAGAATAAGTTGAACTTCGCCGAGAAACGTTGTCACCACGCCGCACGTCGCCTGTGACTGAAATAACTCTATCGTGCGATCGAAACTCTTCGAGAAACGGAAACCAACTAAAAATCATTCGTGCGTTGTGGTGTAGCTGAAAAAAGACGGTCAATACTGTGGTCAACCACAAGTTTTTCTCTAGGTGAACCTGTCCTGACTTTCTTATGATTAGCAGGAGGCTTACCCTGCAGCGCAACGCTAAATATCGCTTATAGCATTGGGCCATCCCTTTTGGATCAGCCACGTATTAATTTCCCAATGAAAATAGCCGTGCTGCTTGAATGCGTGTCTAGGAGCTCGAGGGTAGCGATTGCTGTATAATAAGCAGGTGCTTTTGCTTTCAGAAAATCGGACAAGAAGTGTGAAGAGGACCCTAGTGGGAAAAGCAAAAGCACCATAGAAATACTGAAATTTTCCATGTGAGGTCGACCGTTTCACGACGGACAGATAGAAGCTTCGTAGAGAAGGAAAACGCGAGAGAGCATGTCGTACGTAAGAGAGCGCAGACGCCACCTATGCTGCGACTGATAAGAATGGCAGCAGTTGCAGCGATCACGCGAAAGCATTTGCTCCCTTGTTGCGTATTTTCAACGTGGTACCACTATGTATCCTTGCGATTTGGAGACCGCTACCTCTCTCGAGGAGAGGAGTTCTCTGAGGATTTACATAGTCGCGATCCTTGCCTTAAAGGCAGATGTTACAATGAAAAGTAGCTTGTTGGAAATAAGGGTAGAGGTGGTCAGTGGAGCAGGGATGAAGAAGAAACCATTTGAAACGGCCCGAAACCGAGAAATGGGACCCCTTCCTTGCCCGTTGATTTGCGCATTGATGCGACTCTCATCGCTGTGCCCTCTTCAACACTACGCTCTCTCTGCTATCTAATCACTCGCCACGTATAGACCTGCGGCGAGTGATTAGATAGTCGGTGGGCGTTCCCGCCAACTGCGCCAAAGGAAGGCCATGCTAGATCGCCGGGGCATATCCTTCGATGCGAATTGTGTGTTGGTCCGCACCCTTAGGGGGTCCGCCTGTCTCCACTAGGTAAGTTCTCCTTCTTCGACCTTCGTCTTATCGTGGAATTCTTCTTTGAATAATAAAACAGTCCGAAAATTTGGCGCAATTTTTCAAGTGAGCTGGCAGGCTCGTCTCGATACCAGGGACCAGCCACATTTTCGTCTGACCATGAGTCTACAATGACTTAAAGGAAT